TTAGCAAATGGCTGCAATATAACAAAGAGTGAAAAATTTAAGGGGGTCTGAATACTTTCCGTACCCACTGTATATCTCAGCACCAAAGCAGGTTGAAAGTCAGGTGAAATACGTTCTGTGGTCTCTCAATGATATATTTGGATCCTGTTTGGATTCTCCTCCTCGGAGCTGTTGGCTTTTGAAGCTCTTATCCAATCAGATCACTTTCTCTGAATGTTTGCGTGTGGCCAGCGGTGAGTTTGTGTATCCGTACACTAGCTGAAGTGTTAGCCGTGCTCTTGCTCGCTGATGGTTGTGTCTCCTGACAATGCAGGGAAATGACATCATAGTTTATCACTGTGTCCTCGGGGCTTCGACTGGGCTGTTGGGACACACACACACACAATCACACACACACGCACACGCACACACACACGCGCACACACAAAACACACACACAAACGCGCACACACACACAAAAACAAACAAACTCGCACACACACACACAAACACACGCACACACAAACACGCACACGCACACACACACACACAGACACAAGATGTTGGGAAGTAAAGCAAAATAGATTATCTAGTTATAGTCATTTTAGTTGAATATAAGCTTCATTTGGGCTGTATTGAAGTAATTCTGTAGAGAATCATATGCCAGAGGAAAAAAGCTATATGAACTTCAACTTTGTTAATTATATATATATATATATATATATATATATATATATATATAAAAAATTATTTTATGGTTTCATTTGGTTTTTACGTTTTGTTTTTGTTTGGTTTCATTTGGTTTTGCTTGGTATTTGTTTGGGTTTCTTTTGCCTTGTTTTTGTTTTGTTTCATTTGGTTTTGTTTGATTTCATTTTTTATTTGTTTGTTTTGTTTTGTTTTTTTATTTGATTTGTTTTTGTTTCATTTGGTCTGTTTTTGTTTTTGTTTTTTTTGTTTGCTTTTATGGTTTGGTTTTATTTGGTCTGGGTTTTTTTTTTTTTTTGGGTTGTTTGGTTTTGTTTGCTTTTGTTTGGGGCTTTTTTTGTTTGTTTGGTGCCGTTTTGTTTTTTCATTATTTTTGTTTTGCTTTGCTTTTTGTTTTGTTTAACAAAATACTAAAGTTATATGGAGTTATATGACCAGAATGTGCATCTTGTCTATTCAAATTACGGCTAAGTGAATTCCAAACGTGATACTCTTTAGTGGTTTTCAAGTATAAATGGTGAATACAGACCTGTAACCTCTAGTCTGATGTGGGGAAATATGTTATATTGAACATTCGACAGTAACCTTTTCAAATAAAATGATACAAAAATAAAGTTTCAGGCACAAATGGCCTTTGAGAAAGACATGCCACAATAGTGATGAGTGACAGAAGAGTGGCAGTGGTGTTACTCTGAGACATAATAGCACCCCTGAGAGAGAGTTATGGGCAGCCGACTCCACAGAGGCAGGTTGCTGTGTTAAGGCTGCATGAAAGTCACTCATGTGTGTTACTGGTCTCCAATGTCATGCTGTTACTCAAACCAACATACCCACAATGCCATTTTTAGAGCTGTCAAAGACACAGCAATGTGCAAATACACATACAGCTTGGACAATAGGTTTATTTACAAGATACTCATCCAAACAGCTTTAAAAAGTTTATGCTGTGTTTTTAACAAGTTATTACTTATTATTTAACAAGCCAATATTACTGAAGGTTTGGATGATGGGTATTGTTTTAATTTTCTTATTTTAGTTGAAATTATTTTTTTCCCCGGACGTCTGTTTACTGGTTTATTTGTCTGGTAGATGTGTTTGAAAACTGGAACACCAAACTACTTATTTAATCAACATTCTTCAGTAGCCTCAGATTGTCTGAGTAATCAAGGAAAATTAACTCTGGATAAACAAACACTGTTGCAAATACCTGAGCTGAGCCGGCTTTGGTCACGCAGAGAGACAAAGCTTGATGGTTTTGCCCAGATCCTTGTGCTTGAATGGCTGTGTTTGCGTGTTTTGTAATGACCATGTGTGTTTGTGTCTCTCTAGATGTGGATGAATGTCTGGACAACAACGGCGGCTGTCAGCAGATATGTGTGAACACCATGGGCAGTTACGAGTGCCAGTGCAAAGATGGGTTCTTTCTGAGTGACAACCAGCACACCTGTATCCACCGATCGGATGGTGAGTCTCTTCCGCAGTGAAATCTCAGTTATACTGTATGTGATTTTAAATTTGTGTCATAATTATTGAATGTAACTTTTCAAGTACTGAACAAAATATAATTTGTTAGGGAATAAATAAACTTAAAAAAATACTTAACTTTATATATGAGTTTAGTTTCTGACTAAGTTATATTATATTTATTATATTATATTATATTATATTATGTGTCAAAATACATTTTTAGAGAATGGGAAAAGCAACAACAACAACAAAAAGAAAGTTAACGTGAGGTTGGTCTCTCATTATTAAATAATTTAATATTGTATTAAAATTATTTTAAAATAATTTGAATTATTTAAAACATTATTAATTAAAAATAATTCAAATTAAGTTATTATAAAAAAACTTTTTTTTACGTGGTTTATAATATGCAAATGAAGGTAAGAATGCTTACAATTATAGAACTTCATAATATTATATAAACTTTTTCAAGGTGTATTGTAGATATATCATATCATCATGCATTTTAAGAAGTGTATTTACATTTTTTCATTGTTATTATAATAAATATAATTTTTGGACTGTTTGAGACATCTTTATGAAATGTGATGTCCAATACTTGTGGCACAAATCTAATTCCATGCTAAACATCGGAGTTCAGCAGCATCTCACTACTGTACTTGTCTTGAACCCTGGACAGAGCTGAAGTATAGAGGTCGAAGTTGAAAGCATGAACGCGCAGGCGGCCAGCGGGCATATCTTTGTGTGTGCATGGTGCATTCGGGTTCAAAAGCTTGGTAAAGTCAATTGTGACGTGTGACTTCATGACGTGTGTGTGCGCAGATCATGCGACCCTCTTGTGCTTTCTCATTCCGCCTGTCAGATTTAACTAATGATGCTTCTCCACGTTGAGGCGGATGCATTCCCACACACTAAGCAAATCTAAACGATTCACACACATAGTCATGAATGAGAGTGGGTTGCTTCGTAATCGCATCTTTGATGTCTCTCGCAATCATGTGTGGAATGTGGAGAGGAGTGTACAACCCTCTCTTTTTCATCCCCTTCTACTTTTTAAGGTTTTGTTCAGAGTTATATATGTGTATATATATGTGTGTGTGTGTGTGTGTGTGTGTGTGTGTTTGCGTGTGAGAGAGAGAGAGAGAGAGAGAGAATATTGGAGAGGGAGGAGAATGGTAGAGCCAGTCAAGAGCTGGACAGAAAAAATATAGATGATAAAAAGTTGGACACAGAAACAGAAATGCTCCATATTTGCTTTTTGGGAAGCCCATAACTCTTTTGGTGAATCTCTGCTCCTGCATGTAGTATTTTTACTACAAATGCAAAACTTCGGTAAATACTGTAGTAGTAGTGTGTGTGTGTTTTTATGTGAGTGCGTGGTGTATTTGTGTACTTGTCTGTAAACAAGCTAAAGGGTTGTTTTGTGGATAGCTAACTGATGTGCTGTTGCAGTCTTGTATGTCTCTTCACGCTACACACGCACACTACTCTATATATCCACTGTAAACAGAAGAGGAATCAGAAACTGTCCACTGGAAAGAATGGGTATCTTTTTCATTTACTAATTTCATGAGGAATACAAGAACGTTTTAAAAAAATAAGATAAAATATAAAATTAAATTAAATTAAAAAGAGCCAGTGATTATCATTGAAATTCTTGCCTTTTTAGTACTTTTTACTTAGGATTTCATTTTATTTTTTATTTTATTTTGTAATTTTATTTTATTATTTTTAGTACTATTTAAATTCAGCTATTTGACATACAAATCTTTAAATAATTTACATAAGACAATAATCCTTCTATAATAAACAGTTGAGGTACTCGTACACAATCACAAAAGACTGTAAACAGTAAAGGTGTAAAGTCAGTCAATCAGATTAGAGTTTATCAGATCAAGAAAATATGCAGACAGTATCCAGGTTTCCACCTATTATAGTTAGGCAAATTTTGGGATATCGTAGAAAAAAGTTATTATTATTATTCATATTAGTATTATTATTATTAATAATAATTGTGTAATTTGTTTATAATTTATATTATTTAAAAACGATATAAAATTATAAAAATTATTATTTAAATTGCATAATAAAAATGGTTGAATTATATAATAATTTGAAATTGAGTTTACAAATAGGATAGAAACAACAGCTTCCGTCCATCGTTTGCAGTTTTGTTTGGTGCTGTTAGTGGTGCAGAAATGACACACTGCACCTTTAAGCCCACGTACAGTCTTCCTCATCTGCCTTGGTCTCACAGTCAGACATACTGATTACAAACAGGCAAGCGTTCACACGTTTAATCTCACCCTAAATGAACCTCTCACCTTCCTTCATCACCCTCACTCATCAATAGTGTGTGTTTGGGAATCTGTGTGTGTGAATGTGTGCATGTTTCTTGTTTACGGTTCGTCTGTCACCAGTATGGCCCATTGGCTCATGTCTAAGACTTATGTATACGTGTGTGAGAGAGAGATGTGTGGTGTTGTGTGTTTACAATTCTTCACTCACCAGTACGTCCTACTGGCCTGAGTCTAGCGCAGTGTTATATGAGTGTGTGTGTGTTACATTGGCGCCGTCTGTCTGCTGTGGAAAACTAGAGCTCTATAAGAGGCCATGTTCTTTTGACTAAGGCTTCTGTCAGTTCTATTGACCTGTGTGGGTCACGGGTTTACTGTATGTCCACTTCTGCAACACCTCATACAATTCATGAAAGAATGTGGTTTACAGCAGTTGTCATAGTCTATTTATGAATATGCATAAAGGAATAATCATATGCAATAAGCATATGAATTCTGTCTGTCTGTCTGAGTAGATAGATGGATAGACAGGTTGAGTGATGAATAGACAGATGGATAGACAGGCGGATGGAAAGATAGACAGATTCTAGAGCTATCTATCTATCTATCATCGAAAAATCCGTCTATCATCCCTCAATCTATCAATCTGTCTGTCTGTCTGTCTCTCCATCCCACGATTTGTACACCTATCTGGATGAACAGACTGAGGGATGGGTAGATTAATGGATAAACAGATGAATAAACCGATAGAGGGATGGATAGATATATAAACGGATAAGACAAACTGAGGTATGAATAGACAGACAGATGTAAAGACAGATTGAGGGATAGACAAGACAGGTGGATAGACAGATTTATGTACGATAGATATACAGACTGTCTATCCATTTCTCTGTCCATCCATCCCTCAGTCTATTCATCCGTCAATCTGTTGGTCTATCCATCTGTGTATTGCAGTGTGAGTTGAAATAGTAAGGCTCATGTACGCAAGTACACACACAGAAGGAAACGATAAAGCCTGATAACTATGATGTTGTGAAAATAATAACCTTGTAAATTCTTCTCAACCGCTGAAATCCTGGCACTCTTGGTGGGTTGTAAATTAGGACTTTACTTTTTTTGTGCCCTGCCAACAGCCCGTCGGCTTCTTCGGACTCAGAATGGCAGAAGTAACCAACTGGTTTGGCAGTGTAGTGTGAATGAATCAGAACCTTATCTAAATATTTAAAGCAGTATTTCACCTAAAAATGAAAATCCTGGCATTATTTACTCCGCCTCATGTTATTCCAAACCTGTATGCTATTATTTTTCCTATGAAACAAGAGGAGGATTTTTGAAATTGACCTGAACATAGTGACCACATCTGTCAAGCAAGCTCCCAAATGACAAAAAAGCACTATAAAAATGCTTCTAAATGATGTTCCTACCAATTCTGTGTGACATGACGGGCTTCAGGTCTATCTATCTGTCTCTCTTTTTCTCTCTGCCAGGAGAAAATCATTAATGTGTTGGCTCACCCAAGCGCCACCCCTACTGTTCAGATGCTGGTGGAAAAATGCAAACTGATGATTTATGAGCATGTGAGAGGAATACGACCCAAACACACACACACACCACAGTCCTTTTCACACCTTCCGTACACACTGATAGAGACACATTATCACATGTGCACATGAACATTAGTTTTCTTAAAGCGGACATATCCTACTCTTATCCTACATCAAACTGGGAACCGTCTCATTTAGATGGGCATTGGAAGGTGCTGGAGTTGAAAAAACACATGCAAGCTGCAAACCTGTGCTAATACAGTATATTTCAGATGTTTGCGGTCAGTAAAATGTATATTTTTATTATCTTTTATTCAGCAAGAATGCATTAAATTGATCAAAAGTGACAGCAAAAGACATTTATAATGTTACAAAAGAATTACATTTTATGCAAATGCTGTTCTTTTGAACGTTCTCTTCATCAAAGAATCCTGAAAATAGAAATGTATCACAGCTTTTCAACATAAAATAACATACGACATATTAAAATAGAAATTATAATTGTAATTATATTTAACAAAATTGCTTTTTTACAGTATTTTTAATCAAATAATCGTGGTGAGCCATTTGGAGAGCATTTAAAACACTTTAAAAACATTTGTTTAAAAACAAAAATCTCTCTTTTCCTTTTATTCTCTCACTTTCTTATTCTCAGTCCTGAGGAGGATAATATCAGAAAAGGTGGAATGAAGAGTGGGAGGAAACACTAGGATAAACATTAAAAGGCAAATGTTTATTTGGAGTGTGTGATGAGAGGAAGTGGGCAAAACGAAGCCACTGTTGACACACACACACAGTAATAATACAGATTTTATGTTGTTCTCTTCATCAAAGAATCCTGAAAATAGAAATGTATCACAGCTTTTCAACATAAAATAAAATATGACATATTAAAATAGAAATTATAATTGTAATTATATTTAACAAAATTGCTTTTTTACTGTATTTTTAATCAAATAATCGTGGTGAGCCATTTGGAGAGCATTTAAAACACTTTAAAAACACTTGTTTAAAAACAAAAATCTCTCTTTTCGTTTTATTCTCTCACTTTCTTATTCTCAGTCCTGAGGAGGATAATATCAGAAAAGGTGGAATGAAGAGTGGGAGGAAACACTAGGATAAACATTAAAAGGCAAATGTTTATTTGGAGTGT